AGTCTCCCACTGTTTTCCCAGAAAAAGACCTTAATAATCTCATTTCAGAGGAGATGAGGCTGATATGCATAAGGGATAGAACAATTACAAAAGAGCTTTCATTAATATCTCGTTTTTAGTCTCCTATACAATAATGAGATCAACTGGAGACTCTGGAGAGTTTCAGAAGAGATCTTAGAAAATTGAAAAATATGCAATCAAAACAATAAGTAAATATGTAAACAAATGTTTTATGGTTTTTCATTTTAGTCAACACCTAAACCCATAAGTTAGAAACAATCCTAAAGGAGATCTCATTAATATCTCAGTTGTTTCTTCTTGACAATAATGGGATCAAATAGAGAATAAAGTCTCCCATAAACACACACACAAAAAATTTGAGTATTTCTTTATTGCACAATACACATTCCTTAATATTATACCTAAAATGTGTTCAAATGTTTTAATATCACTATTTATAAGGATTATATGATCTCAGTGTACTATCAGTCTTTAAATTTAAAGGTACCTAAAGTATACTTGCAATAGTTCCACTTTAGTACAATCGTATATATATATATATATATATATATATATATATATAAGTGTAACCTTTATTTTAGATAACCTTATGAGAGAGGAATCACAAAGGAAATTTTGTTAATATCCAAGTGGTTTTCCTAGACAATGAGGTCAAATGGAGACATTAGAGAAGCCAGTTTCCGTCACTGAATAAATAAGAAAGGTAATTGCGACTTTTTAGCTCACAATTCGGATTTTTTCTTGCAACTGCGAGTTTTCATCTCGCAGTCCTGACTTTTTTTTCTCAGAATTGTGAGATATAAACTCAAAATTGTGAGTTATATATAGAATTGCAAGAAATAAAGTGACAATTGCGAGAAATAGTCAGAATTGCGATATAAACTTGAAATTCTGACTTTTTTTCTCGCAATTGCAAGTTTATATCAAGCAAATCTGAGGAAAAAAAATCAGAATTGTGAGCTTAAATCTCCCATTTCTGACTATTTTCTTGCAATCGTGAGTTTATATCACACAATTCTGAGGGGGAAAAAAAGTCAGAATTGTGAGATAAAAAGTCACAATGACCTTTTTTTTAAATTCTTTATTCAGTGGAGGAAATTTCCCAGAAAAAGACCTTAATAATCTCATTTCAGAGGAGATGAGGCTGATATGCATAAGGGATAGAACAATTACAAAAGAGCTTTCATTAATATCTCGTTTTTAGTCTCCTATACAATAATGAGATCAACTGGAGACTCTGGAGAGTTTCAGAAGAGATCTTAGAAAATTGAAAAATATGCAATCAAAACAATAAGTAAATATGTAAACAAATGTTTTATGGTTTTTCATTTTAGTCAACACCTAAACCCATAAGTTAGAAACAATCCTAAAGGAGATCTCATTAATATCTCAGTTGTTTCTTCTTGACAATAATGGGATCAAATAGAGAATAAAGTCTCCCATAAACACACACACAAAAAATTTGAGTATTTCTTTATTGCACAATACACATTCCTTAATATTATACCTAAAATGTGTTCAAATGTTTTAATATCACTATTTATAAGGATTATATGATCTCAGTGTACTATCAGTCTTTAAATTTAAAGGTACCTAAAGTATACTTGCAATAGTTCCACTTTAGTACAATCAAATGTACGTCAGTATATCTTTAGTTGGACTTCAGCACTACTTCCACACAATTACAGTGTATTAAGTACAAAATTAGTTGTTTCACACAATTCTGAGGGGAAAAAAAAGTCAGAATTGTGAGATAAAAAGTCACAATGACCTTTTTTTAAAATTCTTTATTCAGTGGAGGAAACTGGCTTCCATAGAAAACCTTCCAATTTCTCCTGAAGTAAGGACCTTAGTCATCTAATTTCTAGAGTTTCAGAGAATATCAGAACAATTGCAAGCTATGCAATCAAAAGAATAAGAGAAAATATGTTTAATGGATTTTTTTTAGAGAACCTTATGTAATATAAAAATCAAAAAAGGAAATCTCATTAATGTCTCAGTGGTTTCTTCTATACAGTAATGAGATCAAATGGAGACATTAGAGTCCATTTCTCCTTAGAAAAAGACGTTGGAGATTTTAGATAGCACCTAAACCCATGCATTAGAAAAATCACAAAGTACAATCAAGTACAGACTTTCTCAAATGTTCCCACTTTCTCCTGAGAAACATACCCTAATAATCTCATTTCTAGAGTTTCAGAGGAGATCTTAGAAAATTTCAAGCTTTGCAATCAAAAGAAGAGGTTATTTTAAAATAACCCTATTTGATAGAAACATTTTAAAGGAGATCTTATTAATATCTCTGACAACAATGAACAAATAGAGACTTTACCTTGGTTCTTCTGCATCTCAGATGTTTCTCCTGAGACGTGTCTTCATTTGAGTTTTAAAAAGTGAATGATATGGCAGATGGTTTTGAGAAACAGGTACTAAAGTCACAATGTCATCGCTGGCAGTGTTCAGATCCTCAGTGGAGATTTCGCTGCGTGTGGCAAAAGAAATGTTCTGGATCATCACGTCTTGCCTGAATTGATCTCATGAATTGTGCGCTCACTGCGATTCTGCCAAACTAGGCCGTGTTCCTGCATCAACATCCGTGTTGGTCCTAGAACAACATTCTTATCAATCAGATTTTTAGGGACAGGCCAAAAGTTACTGTAGTTTTCAGTTTGCTGCCACGTCTCATGCACAGTTCAGTCTTATAGTTTTAAATTTGCTAACACTTTAGATTAGGGATGTTTAAACTTCTCAGCACATTTATTGGCATTTTCATGTTTAAAGCAGGCGATTTGTAAAGGTTATACGTTTTATATGTCATGTATCGAGAATGAAAGCTAAAATTATTTTATGGTCATTTTTGTTTATAATGTTTTCTCCAGGTTTATCTTCCAATTTCTCCTGAAGTAAGGACCTTAGTCATCTAATTTCTAGAGTTTCAGAGAATATCAGAACAATTGCAAGCTATGCAATCAAAAGAATAAGAGAAAATATGTTTAATGGATTTTTTTTAGAGAACCTTATGTAATATAAAAATCAAAAAAGGAAATCTCATTAATGTCTCAGTGGTTTCTTCTATACAGTAATGAGATCAAATGGAGACATTAGAGTCCATTTCTCCTTAGAAAAAGACGTTGGAGATTTTAGATAGCACCTAAACCCATGCATTAGAAAAATCACAAAGTACAATCAAGTACAGACTTTCTCAAATGTTCCCACTTTCTCCTGAGAAACATACCCTAATAATCTCATTTCTAGAGTTTCAGAGGAGATCTTAGAAAATTTCAAGCTTTGCAATCAAAAGAAGAGGTTATTTTAAAATAACCCTATTTGATAGAAACATTTTAAAGGAGATCTTATTAATATCTCTGACAACAATGAACAAATAGAGACTTTACCTTGGTTCTTCTGCATCTCAGATGTTTCTCCTGAGACGTGTCTTCATTTGAGTTTTAAAAAGTGAATGATATGGCAGATGGTTTTGAGAAACAGGTACTAAAGTCACAATGTCATCGCTGGCAGTGTTCAGATCCTCAGTGGAGATTTCGCTGCGTGTGGCAAAAGAAATGTTCTGGATCATCACGTCTTGCCTGAATTGATCTCATGAATTGTGCGCTCACTGCGATTCTGCCAAACTAGGCCGTGTTCCTGCATCAACATCCGTGTTGGTCCTAGAACAACATTCTTATCAATCAGATTTTTAGGGACAGGCCAAAAGTTACTGTAGTTTTCAGTTTGCTGCCACGTCTCATGCACAGTTCAGTCTTATAGTTTTAAATTTGCTAACACTTTAGATTAGGGATGTTTAAACTTCTCAGCACATTTATTGGCATTTTCATGTTTAAAGCAGGCGGTTTGTAAAGGTTATACGTTTTATATGTCATGTATCGAGAATGAAAGCTAAAATTATTTTATGGTCATTTTTGTTTATAATGTTTTCTCCAGGTTTATCTTTATTTTAACTTCAGTGTTATCAGTGTTTTCATTTAGTTAATGAATGTGTTAATAATGAACAGAAATAGAAAAAATAAACAAAATAGCTAGGCATATTATGTGTGCATTTTCAATAATGTATTGGGTGCTTTGGTTTTCCGCTTACCACAAATTTTTTTGTATTTTTTTGTTATTTTATAAAAAAAAAAATTCGGAGTATTCTAGCTTTTTTGTTTTAATTTTAGTATTTTAATGTGTTAGCTGGTATCATTTAAATATATTTATCAGTGCAGCACAATGTAGTGTTATTGATAATAAGTGGCATTTTTATGTTTAATACAGGTAGGTTTTATAAGTTTTGTAATATAGCGTATATCAAAAATGAAAGCTGTATAATTGGTGTCCCTTTTCATTTTATTTGAGTCAATGTTGGAGTCATGTATGTGACGTATTTTAGTTCAGTTTCTGTTTTTACCAGTTATGTTAGTTTTTATATTTCAGTTAACACAAATGTTTTCGTTTCAGTTTGCGTTAGCAAAAATAAACAAAATAGATCATTAGAAGTATGTGTTAAATACCATAATGCGGTCAGAGGGGTGGAGTCAAAAAGTAAGAGGCATTGATGATGTCATCCAAAAAGGGAAGTTGTTTTAGAGGCAGAGCAAGATGTTAAGAAAGATTTACAAAAGATTACAAAAAAATATTGTTTTAATTTGGAAAAAATAACACCAGGAATGCGCATCTGGCCTTCCACCAGATCAGCCAATTTACTCGCACGACAGTTTACTTGTTCAAAGGGTTACGCGGATAGCACTGCACGGTTCATTTGGAGCGTTTGGCTTCCCATAAAGCTCATAACTAAATAAAACAGGCTGTGTGATGTTGAGGAAGGATAATTTGGCATACAGATATGACACACGTCAGCACTTCTAAAATAAACGGCTAAAGCAAAACACACTTAATAATTAATCTTTTACTCTCCAGTGGTTGCACATGTGCATCTTCTCATAACCAAGCATGACCTCTCTGTCTCTCTTCCTCCTCTTCAGGTAACGCGTGTCAGAGCGGACTGGTGCCAGCGCTGGTTCGAGCTTCTCTGCCCACTGTGCCACCCTCTCTGGGCATGAAGCACTTCCTTCCCTTCCCTCTGGATGGCGGCTCCACGCTCAGCCTCATTCCCAGCTTCAGCAGCGTGAGTCACACAAACACACTCCGTCTGGAGGTGCTAATGAGGTTCACTCTGTTCTCGCGTTGGTGGTCAGACACGCTGTCCGCCGTGGTTTGAAGAGAGTGTCGCTTGTGATAATTGTCATATGAGTGCTGGTTGTTCTGGGACTCTTGGTTGTGGAGTGCTTTGCAGTGCATTCTGGAAATGTAATGCCAGCTGTTGTCTTAGGCTCAGGTTGTGAACTTGTGAAGATCATATAAACATCTACTGCATAGTCAGCTGGATGTGGGTAATGATAGATGTAGATCTGGCTTATGAATAATAACAACTGGTGCTAAAAGAAGAAGAACAACTAATTTTCTTTGTTATTTAGGAAAAATCACAAAGGACATCTATTGAATGTCTTGTTTGTTTCTCATAGATACCAGTGAGGTTACATGGTGGCTTATGAATAATAACAACTGGTGCTAAAAGAAGAAGAACAACTAATTTTCTTTGTTATTTAGGAAAAATCACAAAGGACATCTCTTGAATGTCTTGTTTGTTTCTCATAGATACCAGTGAGGTTACATGGAGAACATATGTGACCCTTGACCTGACCCTTATGACTGGTTTTGTGGTCCAGGGTCACATATCAGAGGCCTTTGCTTGGGTATTGTTCTGTACTGAATTTCCGAAGATATCCCAAACTCTATATCAAAGGGGTAGCAATAAAAATATCTCAATATTATCTCAAATACTTCTCGTTAAATTCTCAAAAAGATCTGAGCTGCTATTTGCATTTGTTTTTTTAGCTCTGTAGTTTTAGAAGAAGCATCTCAGACAAAGTTGATTATATTAAAGAAACCATAACTGAGAACTGCATTACTTCTGAGCTACAAATGAGAAACCTTTGAGAAATACATTTTCAATGTGATGATAATCTGCTCTCCAACCTTGGTCTGTTCCCATAAGAAAAAGGTGTCAAAAGAAAGATATCTCTTTAATATCTTAATTGTTTCTCGTAGACACTAATGAGAATAAATGAAGAAAAAAATGAGAGAAGCCTTCTGTTTCTCATACGCGTCTCCTTAGAAAAGACCTCAGTAATCTCCACTAGAATACCAGAAAAGAACTCAACAATGTCTCAAATTGTGCTGAGATTTGTAAAGATACCATGCTATCAAAATCCAGATCTCAATATGAACTAAAATTCTCATCAAAGACTAAATTATGCATTTTGTTCATTGTAAAGCTCTGCACTCTTACTGTATGACTCATTTGTGTCTTTTTACTTTTAGAAGAAACATCTGAGACTAAGTTGATTCTTAAATGAACCAAAACTGAGAACTCCATTACGTCTTCTGAGCGAAAAAAAAATGCTTCTCATATATTTCCTTATCTGAGAACCCAAAAAGAAATCTCACGTCTTCTCTAGAATTCAGGAAGAGATCTCAAAAATGTCTCAAACTGATATCAAAGTCTGCTATGGAAAGTCAGAGATCTCACTATGAACTCTGATATTACTCATCAAATTCTCCCAAGACTAAATTATGAATGTTGTTAATTTTATAACTCTTTATAGCTCTGTACTCTTACTGTATGACACATTTAGTCTGTTTTTACTTCTCATGGAATTGTAGAAATAAAATCAGAAACAAATTTGATTCTTAAACAAACCATAACTGAGAGCTCCATTACGTCTCCTGAGCTGTGAAAGAGAAACCTCTGAGAAATGATATGTTTATCAGCCTTCAACTGTGTCCATTAGAAAAAGATATCTCCTTAATATCTCAGTTGTTTCTCCTAGTCACAAATGAGAATAAATGGAGAACAAAATTGAGTGAAGCCTCCTACTTCTCAGATGTTTCCATAGAAAAAGACCCCAGAAATCTCCCAGATCTCCTCTAGAATTCAGGAAGAGATCTCAACAATGTCTCAAACTGTGCTCAGATTTGCAAAGATACCAACGTCTGCAATCAAAAGCCAGAAACCTCCCAATTAACTCATATTCTTCTATATACTGTGTCTCATTTGTGTTCTCATTTTTTAGAAGAAGAAACATCTGAGACAAATCTGACACTTAAATTAGTCATACCTGCAATTTGCATTTATTCTCCTGAGCTTTAAAAGAGCAACCTCTGAGCAATCCTCTGGGATCACGTTTTGCTGCGTTGCTTTGGGCTTTTGTCAGCATGAGAAATACATTTTTGTAAGATGCTGGTGTGGCACTAAAGCACTCATCAGCGCTCACCCAGCGCGTCACCAACAGATGGGAACCTCTTTGATTATTCGTGCATGTGCTAAAGTCTGAAAAAGCACAACAGACAGGCCGTGTTGTCCTAAGACGGCGTATCGCTGGGAGGGAATTTGGCTGGAGGGACCACTGAACTGGCTGGACCTGCGTTTGGAAACTGGAGTGTGGGATTTTTTAAAAACATGCTGGTAACAGATGCATGCATGTGGAGCGGAGCGGCACAGTCATGCATCACAGAAGAGTTTAGTCATACGCGCACACACACACAAATACACACACACTTTTTGATAGTGGTTCAGAGAGAGGCAGCAATGGTCGCCAAGGCTGACATTTGCTCTGGATCCCTAATCTGTATTTAACAGACTTTTCCTTCGATAATGAGTTGTGCATTGGCCATCCTCCGGAGCCGGTAATCTGATACTAGATTAACTCACAGTAATCTCTCTCTTGCTCGCTCTTGCTCTTATGCTATGTTGGCGAAGCTCGCTCTCATATTGAATTCCAGAGTTGGCTTGATCAGGGTTGTAAATGCGTTTATGTCCCATTCTTTTGTGTTTTTGCTCGGTGCGCTTTTACACGTGGCACAGATGCAACAACGGATTTGTTTTTGCTGAAAATCTGCATCAAAATGCAGTTTAGATTGCATTGGACAAATTAAACTGGACACCTCAAAATAATATATTGACAGTAAATATTCATTACAACTTTCTATTGTGTTATGGAATGCAAACAAAAATCTAAAAATCTATAAATCATGCTTCTCCCATGTTTTAGGATAGTTTAGCCCAAAAAATGGAAAAAAGTTGAGAAGTTACTCACCCTTATGTTGTTTCAAACCTGTAGCATACTGCTAGCATACTACTTAATGCAATGCAAACTGTGTTGTATAGACTAAATACAGTGTTGGGGTTAACATTTTCATAAGTAACTATAATTTAATTACACATTTTTTTCTTAGTAACTGTAACTGATTACAGTTACATTTATTTTGTAATTAAATTACGTAACGCCGTTACATGTAACTAGTTACTCCCCAACACTGACAAAATATTACATTTGCAACAAATTTCCTGCATATGTAATTTGCCAAATTGCGTGTAGTTACAATTTTGTAAATAAAAAGGGTTATTTTGCATTTTTTATTCAATTTCGCATCATAATCTATTGACAGTAAATAGAGTTCTTGCTTTATAGAATGAGAATGAATTTGCAGCAAAACAGAATCGCTTGGTTGGTGCTGTTCTTTTTAAAGGGGTCCTATTATGCTTTTTCACTTTGGTTACAATCATCTGGGTTTAAATAGCGCTCAAATTGATTTGATTTTGACGAAATATTTACACTGAAGCTCGCAGTGGTAAGGGGCATGTCATTTCCCGACCAGGCGCCGAGTGCTGCCACAGCACATTTCGTATTTCAGAAGATAATATGTGAAAAATAATGTTTTTCGAACAACCTAGTATGAGAGACTGTTCTAGTACACCCCCAAAACAAAATCAAGACTTTGTAAAAGACCATAATAGGACCCCTTTAATGAATCAATCAAACTAACTTGTGAATCGGAATGAATCAAATAGAGGAGTCATTCATCTGAAGCATGAAATGAATTGATCAGATCAGACTGTTTTCCTTACTTACCATGTTCGTTATTTCAAAATCTGCTTGTATTAATATGTTGTTGCTTCTGTCTACACTCATGTGGCTTTGTAACACATCAACAAAGCCATGCTGAATAAAAGAAAGCGTGTCGGACGTCATAATATGTTAGGAAACAAATATAGCCTGATTAGTCATAGTTTAGTCATGGTAGGAAACACTGGTGTTCACTCACCTCACAGAGTTTTGTGTCATGATCGACTTGAGCTCTTTCAGATGGAGCGAGAGGTTTTCGCTGTGTATCTAATGTGTGTGTGTGTGTGTTCATTCTCAGGAAACAGTGAGGTCAGATCTATAGCTGGCTCTCAGAGGCGTGTTAAACATTCACTGGTTCAGAATCGTAAACACAAAGGAATCTTATGGAATATGACGGCAGGGATTTTCCAACCCTAATATATGTTAACAGCAATTTTACAAGGCTGGAATGATGTGCACAGTTTTTTCCAAATAATATATATAAAGAAGCCTGTAATGTACACATGAAGCCATATAAATTCGGTTATATGAGAGCAGAACTAATTTAACATTAAAGTGACTTTGCCAAATTGATACGATGCATAGTTACAAATGGCAAATACACACAAAATAGGTTTATAAACCTTGTTTTCTTCCAGAGATTTTGTTCTAACTAGCTGTGAACACAACAAGCGATGCATGACAGAACATTTTGTCAGTCACTGAGGATGACTTGAATGGAATACTAGCATACTGTCTGGTATACATTTAAAAAATATCATATATAATTTAAAAAATATATATTATTGTAATAATTTGATAATTATTAATTATAATAATTTACAATTATTTTTTCCTCAAAATGTCTAAATACATGATAGTCCAAATAATATTAATACTTGAATAAGAAAAAATGCTAATACTTAAAAATTGTATTATTAAATACTTAAACAATGTAGTTTTTATATTTTAAAAATTATTATGATTTTAATTTGACAATTTATCAACAGTAATAATTTAAAATTATTATTTTTATTTATATTAATATTTTTTATTAATACTTATTTTTATTTTTGTTGATATATGTAAATAATATTCAATTCAATTCAAGTTTATTTGTATAGCGCTTTTTACGATACACATCGTTACAAAGCAACTTACAGAAAATTAAGTTTCTACA